ATGTGTAGCTACATCGCACTTCCTGTAGAACGTTGTCAACTTTGTTTGAGAAATGCCCTCATCTCCTGTTTCCTTGTTTTCATTTGCCTACACCCGTCATCAATTACCTCTGTGTTTCGTCTACCCATCGGTCATCTCTGCAGTGCGTGTTGGAATTTTAACGAAAATATAATAAAAATAATACTAATTTCATTATTGTGTCATGACTTCACCCCCATCATCTTACTCAAGAAAGAGACACGGGTTTTTTCTATTGCAAACAGTAAATAACAAAGACAATAGATCTTAAGACCTTTCAAAAATAAAGATAGGGGTAACTACTCCATGCAGTTAATATTGAACCAAAATAACTGTCAAATGGGCATTTGATGGATTTGGTATTAGCTTTAACAAATAATACCATTATTTTTCAGAAAGTATTGTCAGTATCACATATAATGGAACACTGTTTGGGTTTTGAACCCTTTTTAGAAGCGCTCTGTTTTATTGCCTTTGAAATGTGATATATGTTTCCTGTTGTCAAAAGTAATTTTTCATTCTAGATATGGTCATGAAAAGTGCCAGTAACTAAATGCAAATAAATTTCATAGTAGCATAAAATTAAATAGATTATTCCATGAACTAACCTGAGATCGTATCTGGTCTAGAATCACAAAGAGATTAACAGTGAGGAATAGACCAGGTAGTAGCAAATTGTCGGCTAAAATAGCAAAGTATGAAAAATTCCTGAATTGAATTATTTTGGATTAGTATTTGCACATTACTGGTCAAAACCAAAAAATTCATGCAATACCCAGTTTAGTAAATAACCCTGCTAGAATAATTCTCAAAAAAGGTTCTTAATGAATCCTTTTTTTAATTTATTTTTTTAGCCTTTTTTTGTAGGAGACAAAAAAGTGCTTTTTTAGTGCTAGTTTTCATTTTGAACAGAAAATGTTGCCCACTATCAGAGTAAGAATAGATAAGCCAACCCAATTACTGATAAAAGACTGTAATGAAATCCCAAAACACCAACTGCAAGTGTCCATATTTTATAGGCAATATCTATCAGCTTGTACATGTAACAGCAGAACACCATGATTAAGATCTGTGAGCAATTTGGATAAATTCTGACTCTTGGATAAATATTTTCCTGTCTAAGTGGTCATAGATAACTTATTGGATTTAGCATTTAGATACATTAGAATATTCCCCTCAATATAAGGCCCCGATCCTGAAAAATAACACTGTCCTCACTTTTGTTATCCCTTTTCTTCTTTTTTGTTCACATATTTTAAAATTGTTTGGTCCTATTTAAGATTAATCTAAAATAGACATTGCACAGTGCCTTTTAGAGTTGGCTAAATATCTATAAAGGAAGGTGAATTGATTACTCTGGGAAGTTATTTACAATCTACAACCAGAGTTAACTGTTATCATGTATATACTCTTGTTCTCCTTATTCTTCCTTTTTGTTTCTTTTCATGTGACCTCCATGCTCATTTATGGGTATTGTGACCACCAATATTATTTGATATAAGCTTCCATAAATTCTTTAGGTGTTTTAGACAGGAGAACAACAATTTCATATACCATAGCAGTACTTTCTTTTCTATCAGGAGATTGGTCTTATTTCGGCCTATGCCAACCCATCAGTTCTAATGTAATTCTATTCTCACACTGAGATATTTCCTGACAGTGGTGGAACTAACATAGAGAGAGAACCCTGATGCATCGCAAGGGTGGCCCCCATCACAAGGGTGGCCAAACGGTAGATCATCATTTGTCGTACAACATCCACAATACTTTGCTAGCTGGGGATCTACCATTTGTATTTTTGCAGGACTGTATTTAGCACTAAAACGTGTTTGTGTGTTTGAATGTAAGCATGTTTTTTTTGCATGGAGTATGTGTGTGTGTAGTGTTGGCGTTTGATTGCAGGCGTGCATTTGTGTGTAGTGTTGCTTTTTGAATGCTGAAATGTATGCACACATACACATAAACTGCCACACACACTGATACACATATACACACACATGTCACATGCTGAAGCCCATGCAGGTACACAGACAGAGATACACCCAGACAGACATGCAGATTAACAGATACACACACTGGCATATATACAGATACACACACTGACATGCAAAGACATAGATACAAACACACAGATACACACTCTGACACACATACAGATGTAAAGACACAGACACACTGATGAACACACTGAAACACATACAGACAGATACAAACACTGATAAACACATACAAACATACAGGTACACAGACACACACACTGACAAACATACAGACACACAGATAAAAAAACCATTGACACACATGCAGATACAAAGGCACAGATACACTCACTGACACATATGCGTATGTACAGACACATAAATACAAACACTGACACAGTTACAGACACACCGATACACACAATGACGCACATACAGATACACAGTCACACAGATACAAACACTGACACACATACAGATGTACAGACACACATACAGATACATAGATGCACAGACACACACACTGACAAACATACAGATACAAACACTGACACACATGCAGATACACACTGACATACATTTAGATACACAGGTACACCGATACACACAGTGACACATACAGATGCACAGACACACATACTGACATTCATAAAGACACACATGCTTTCAGAAAAATTATAGACATGGTTTCAGAAAATATTAAGGAAGAATGATATTATGTGGTGATACTAATTTTGTAATGAATACTGACTTAGATATAATTAGAACAAACACTGACGTAACAGATAGATCTGATAAAGTAAATTTAACTGAAACATGTTACAAACTTATGTTTACTAATGGTTTATATGATTCATGGAGATTACTTCATGAAGGGGAAAAGGATTTACCTACCATTAAATATGACACAATATGTACTCACGTATTGATAGGTTTATGATTAATGAAAGCACAATACCACTCATCTTAAAATCAGATATGCTTAACATTACTTGGTCGGACCATGCACCAATCATTTTACATCTATCTGAAACTCTTTGTTTAAATCCAAATCAAACATGGAAATTAAATGATCATTTCGTTTTAGAAATCGAAAACAAACTCATGGCAGAAAATGCTAAAAAAAATAATTTTAACGATAACAATAATCCTGATATATTTGGTGAGGTGATTTGGAATGCATACAAAGCTGTTTGAAGGGGTCGTTTTATTCAAAGGGCATCTAATCTGAAACTAACTAAATCAAAAAATCTAAAAATGCTTGAAAAAGAATTGTGTGATTTGAATCAAGCAAACAAATCTAACCCATCAACTTCATTATCAACAATGATAACAGAAATCAAATTAAAAAATTAACACAATTCAATTGGAACATACTTCTTTCATGTTGAGACGCCTTAACCCCTTAAGGACACATGCCATGTGTGACATGTCATGATTCCCTTTTATTCCAGAAGTTTGGTCCTTTAAGGGGTTAAGCAAATTTGTTATTTAAAAGGTAATAAGGCCTCCTCTCTTCAGGCATCAAATCTCAGGAGCAATGTATCACAGTCTAGAACTGAATACATATTAGATGAAAATATAAATAAAATAACACACCCAATAAAAATTAGTAATATGTTTGCAAATTATTATAAATCTCTTTATAATTTAAATTCTGATTTTAAAAACATACAACCTACAAAAGAAACAATCAAAACATTTCTAGATAAAATGAATTTCCCAAACAATTCTAAAGACAGATTAGATACTTTAAACAGTGAAATTACATCTGAAATATTACAAGCAATTAAAAACTCCCCTAATGGTAAAGCACCTGGTCCCGATGGTTTCACCATAACATATTATAAGACTTTTTCAGATATTCTTACACCATATTTAACAAAATGTTTGAATATATGTTGGTCTTCAGGTAAGAGGCCAGAGGAGAATTTGTGTGCACAGATAATCACCTTGCCAAAAGCAGGCAAAAACCCTGATAAATGTACAAACTTTAAGCCAAATTCTTTAATCAATAATGATATTAAATTAAATGCCAACATATTAGCAAATCAATTAGCAAAAAGTATCCCTTATTTTATCAATATGGATCAGGTTGGTTTTGTGATGGGCAGACAGGCTTCAGATGGCACCAGAAGATTTATACATTTATTTCATTAAATTAAGGTAATTCACACGCCTTCTTTGCTTCTTTCATTAGATGCATTGAAGGCATTCGACAGAGTCCATTGGGGCTATCTGGAAGAAGTTCTGAAAAAATTCGACATCCCATCATTCATTAATGCAGTATTTGCTCTATATTACAACCCGACCTCAAATGTTTCGGCTTCAGGATTGATATCAGATGATTTTCCACTTACAAATGGGACAAGACAAGGATGCCCACTATCTTCTCTGTTATTTATTACGGCAGTTGAACCTTTAGCAGAAAAAAAAGACAAACTTCAGATAAAGAGGGCATACAAAATGGTAATAATGTCCACAAAATAGGTTTGTTTGTGAATGATATTATCCTTTCAATTCAAAATCCGTTTAAACCTATAAATTCCCTAAATTCTATTTTAAAGGAGTTTGGAGTAGTGTCATATTATAAAATCAGTTCTCACAAAACACAAGCACTCTCTTTTAATATTTCATATCTTGATTTGGATAAACTTAAAAAAGAATACTTATTTGACTGGAAAATACTTTTATTGCATATCTTGGCAAAAACTTATGCAAAAACCTAAACAATATGCATACATATAATTTACATAAAAATGGCCCGACTTACAAAAAGATATGAAAAGATAGTCTGATTTTGAGCTTTCATGGGTGGGAAGAATGGCATCTATCAAGATGAATATTCTTCCCAAAATATTATATATTTTTTTTAACTAACTCGTTATCTATACCATTAAACTTTTTTAATAACATTTATTTAACTTTAATAAAATTTATATGGAAAAATAAACCAAGCAGGGTAAAACTTACTACTTTACAACATCTAAAGATAAATGGTGGATTAGGAGTTCCAAACTTTCGTAAATATTATACATCAACAAATGCTGCCACCGCTAATAAATTGAATATACACTTCAACAAACCAAGATGGCTGGAGATGGAGTCAGATAAAATAAACCCCATTTCAATTAAAGACATTTTATAGTTACCTCCAAATAAACGCCCCAAAAATTCTGATATGTTTCCTACTACCAAAATTACCCTAAAAGCTTGGGACACTATTTTTAAAACTGTTAGTCAATCATCTGGTTTAGCAAGAGCCATGCCACTATCTATTTTAAATCATCATATTTCTCTATTAACATTACATTTTTGGTATTCATATTCTATATTCAATTTAAATTATTATTTTTAGGAAATTCCATTATGTCATTAGTTAAAATGAAAGAAAAATTTGATCTACTGGATCATATTATCCCAAAATTCAATTTAATTAATGACAAATTAAAAGAATGCTTTAACATAGGTGACTTGGATATAGGATATTGATCATTAGAAATCTCTAAATTAGATAAAATGTATCTCCTTGATCCAAACAGTAAAGCAAGCATTTCTACGAGACCCAACACTAAATTAAATTACATGTTATCATGGGAGTCAGAATTAGGCACTCAATATGATTTAGATGATTGGCTCAGTTTTTCCCTAAATTTTAAAGGTATAACACAATGGACAAATCATTTTGAAAACCATTTTAAACTCATATATAAATGGTATTTAGTTCCAGCAAAACTACATAACATAAACCCAAATATACTTGATAAATGTTGGAGAGAATGTGGAACTATTGGAAATATGTCCCATGTATGGTGGTTCTGTCCCAAATTAAAAACATTTTGGAGAAATATACATGCATTAATTCAAAACATTAACCCATCTTTGACTTATTTTACGTTAAAATTAGGCCTGTTTAAAAAGTTTCCTCGTTCCATAAATAAAATCGACGAAATAATATTAGGACATATTTTAATTGCTGCCACTTGTTCACTACCTCGATACTGGAAATCTCCCAAATTACCGTCAATTAAAGAAATCCTGAACCTGACACTAGAGAATAAAACATACGAATTGGCCATAAGACAACCATCATCCTTATTAGATAAGTTATTATACTACTGGAATATATGGCAAGAAAATGTAAAGAAAATGTATTGTTTGTAAATAGTTATGTACCATTTATTTGTTATGTTTACATAATGCTATTATCGATATATATATAATTTAAAGTAATGTTTTATTCTTTATTTTGATGTACAGATATATACCTAATGTATATGCACTGCTCCAAAAAATAAAGGGAACACTTAAACAACACAATGTAACTCCAAGTCAATCACACTTCTGTGAAATCAAACTGTCCAATTAGGACGCAACACTGAGTGACAATCAATTTCACATGCTGTTGTGCAAATGGGATAGACAACAGGTGGAAATTATAGGAAATTAGACACGCCCAATAAAGGATTGGTTCTGCAGGTGGTGACCACAGACCACTTCTCAGTTCCTATGCTTCCTGGCTGATGTTTTGGTCACTTTTGAATGCTGGCAGTGCTTTCACTTTAGTGGTAGCATGAGACGGAGTCTACAACCCACACAAGTGGCTCAGGTAGTGCAGCTCATCCAGGATGGCACATCAATGCGAGCTGTGGCAAGAAGGTTTGCTGTGTCTGTCAGCATAGTGTCCAGAGCGTGGAGGCGCTACCAGGAGACAGGCCAGTACATCAGGAGATGAGGAGGAGGCTGTAGGAGGGCAACAATCCACTGCCAGAGCCCTGTAAAATGACCTCCAGCAGGCCACAAATGTGCATGTGTCTGCTCAAACAGTCAGAAACAGACTCCATGAGGGTGGTATGAGGACCCGATGTCCACAGGTGGGGCTTGTGTTTACAGCCCAACACCATACAGGACGTTTGGCATTTGCCAGAGAACACCAAGATTGGCAAATTCGCCACTGGCGCTTCTTCACAGATGAAAGCAGGTTCACACTGAGCACATGTGACAGACGTGACAGAGTCTGGAGACACCATGGAGAACGTTCTGCTGCCTGCAACATCCTCCAGCATGACCGGTTTGGCAGTGGGTCAGTAATGTGGGGTGGCAATTCTTTGGGGGGCCGCACAGCCCTCCATGTGCTCGCCAGAGGTAGCTTGACTGCCATTAGGTACCGAGATGAGATCCTCAGACCCCTTGTGAGACCATATGCTGGTGCGGTTGGCCCTGGGTTCCTCCTAATGCAAGACAATGCAAGACTTCATGTGGCTGGAGTGTGTCAGCAGTTCCTGCAAGACAATGGTAAGGTTATATATGATATAATGAACTGCAGTGAGAAATATAGGACAAATAATATATGTGCCCATAAAGTGCTTGTAGTGAAATAAAGTGCTTAGAGTAATACAAGTACTGAAATGTAGTGGACAGAAAGTGCCTACTGTACAAAATATTTCAAAGGATACTGTCCATAATATAAAGTGCAAAGAAGATTTCTATGTGCAAATAAATTGCAAATATGTAGTGTACATTACATTTGGTAAAAGGTGTATAAAAAACCTTTAATATATATGAGCTAATAATGTCAATTCAATACATGACAGTCTATGTATAGCAAATACATATACTACTAAATTTCAAGTTGCACTATTCACATAAAAATACTGTAATAATGCACAATAATAAAATAACACACATATATAATACAAGCTGATGAGATCAGATAAATGAATAATATGGGATGCTGTCATTAAGCCCTTTGGGTGCCACCGTGCCCAACTGATATATCCAAAAGGCCTCCTTTTGGAGAAGCATCCTGCCTCTATTACCACCCCTCTTAGGAGAGGGAATGTGGTCAATACCCACAAATTTATATATATGAATGGATACCCCTTTTCTACCAGTTTCCCCATCCCATTAATATTTATTGTATCTATTACTATTGTACACTGTTTATTACTATATATATATATATATATATATATATATATATATAAACTCTCTAATAAAATATATTTGACACAAAAAAAGATAAAGACACACATGCTTGTCAAATGTACACATTGAACAACCCTTAATTTTCCTACATTTGAGTGGTATAAATTGCATGCAGGGAAGGTGTGACTAGGGCAGTATAAACAAAGTTAATTAACTCCTGAATTTCAGAGAATTGTGCAGTGAGAATGACAGGGACATGATCTATATACCAAAACTGCTTAACCCCTTAAGGACACAACTTCTGGAATATAAGGGAATCATGACGGAATATTTCCATCATCTGTCCTTAAGGGGTTAATTAAGCTAAAGTTGATTTGGTGTGTATAGTGTCCATAGAGTATGACTAGGGACACTATAATGCAGCCCTTAGTCACACATCCCCTAGCTGAGACTCACACAGCCTATCTACACACTTCCTGAAAAAGAGTCTAAATGTTTCACTACCTTTATTTCACAGTATTAATTTAGAGTTTCTTATCTCCTGCTCTGTTAAAAGCCTGCTAGAGCTTCCTAAATGAAACAAAAAATTTTTTTCAGCCATGCACATCTCTGTGACAATTAATCAATGGCATGATCGGAACCTGGCTTCTTCTTAGAAACCAACCCAAGAGAAGACACCTGCAAGTTCTTAATATACTTAATATTACTACTTGTATTCCGTCCAGTCTGCCCTCACAGTGCTGCACTCTGATCCTTTAGACACTCTGCACGGGTGGGCCCTGACGGCAGTGCCTCAGAAGCAGGGAGTACCAAGCAGGCAATCCATCATGCCTGTTATCAACTATGAGTTTACTTGTTAATATTGTTTTTTTGCATGGATATAACTGTAAGGGGCTGGACAGTGGGCTTGTAGACAGGGGCAGAGGTTTGTAGTGGGGCAGGAGATTTGTGGGGGGAACACAGGACCCAAAATGGTGCCAAATACTCTAGGTACGCCCCTGTGCACAGCGTGAGACTGCAGCAGAAGGCAGTTCTACTATGTTACCAGGTATGTGAAGAATACAGCATGGAATTATTCCCAGTGGGCTGGACACTTATGTGAAGCACTGTATGCCCATTAAACTAGCTCATACAGAAAATAGAGCAATCTATTCTTAAAGGAACATTCATTGCTCAATAAGCACTATAGCACACTGTAGTGGCTATGGTGTTATGTGTGTTCTACCTGCTCCCCCCTCAATTTGTAAGTAGTCAAACTGTTGAGATATTTTAATTCTTACCTGTAGTCAGGATAAAATAGTAAAGGAACTATACATATGAAATCCATTTTGACAACACTTTTTTTTTTTTTTTTTTTAGCAAAAACCATATCCAAAATATTGTCAAATAGTGATTTGCAAAAATTATTCGTATAGCAGCGGTTTTACATAATTCTTTATGCTGTCTAGGGATTGTGAGTCTGCATGTCAAAGCTGATCGTAGCTTTATCCTAAAATGCTGCCAAACCAAAACCACAAATGTCTTTGCTTGTTTTAGAAGGGAATTCTGTTAAAATAACATAAGCTACAAGAGAATGATGTCACAAGCTAAAAGTGGGTACAAAAGCATATGGCTAAAAGAAATATTTTTTTAAGGTTTTTTTAGGTGTACCATGTTTTTTAACAAGCTGTCTATAACATCCGTTATTTTCATATTGCTTTCTTTATGTCACCTGCAAATAATCCTTGAGAAACAGTACATTTATAAGAAATCAATGATTAAGGCTCAAACTCTGCCAGCTATCTAAATGAAGTTGTTATTGGGCATGAAATCCTCAGGTACCACAAAAGTGGATTCCCTGAGTGCAGACCCACAATCACTTAATCATTTGAAATGTAGCATAAACTTAAAACAATGTGCAGTGTATATAAGTGTATCATAAAGTTCCATAACAATTAACTTGTTACAATGTTTAAGTGTGATTGCGTGTAGAGGTTGGTTGACTGTAATTGTGCTGGGGATTGGCTAAGTGTGATTGTGTGTTGGGTTATCAGAGTGTAACTGTGTGTAAGGATTGTGTGGTTTTTAAAATAAAAATTAATATATTAGTAATATTATCAGCTAATAATACAGTTCAGGTACACACGTATAGGCATACAAAAAAGTTGTGAAGACAGAAGGAGAGATTTATCAAAAAGTCACTGACATTTTTACATCTAATTTTTGGAGCAATTCATTAAATCTAATGCCACAAAGAAACAATTTGGGATAAGGCTGGATAAATCTACAAAGGGACATAAAACAAAATATAGTGTAATATTGTAAAAACACAAAATTGTGCGCAGCAATGTATACACTCACTAGATATAGACAGGTATAAGTGTTCTTAGGGTGCCTCCCCCGATGTAGTGGGGGGCCAACAAATCCCTCTTATCACCTCCAGATACTCGATCCAACACATGACTTCCACGAGTGAGGGTAAAAACATTGAAATTGATTCAATAAAAAAGTAAGTAGTCAACATTCAGCATAGGATATATATAGCGGGGAAAAAAGGTTCTACGCGTTTCGATCTGGACGAACTTCCTCAGGGACCGCAATAAAAACAATTACAATGTATCAATACATGTAACAAACAACCATATCCAGGATAATGCCACAAATAAACAATTCGGGATACGGGTGGATAAATCTACAAAAAATAAATTTCAACACAGGACTTCCATGAGTGAAGGTAAAAACGTTGAAATTTATTCAATAAAAAAGTAAGCAGTCACCATTCAGCATAGGATATATATAGCGGAATAAATTTTAACGTTTTTACCCTCACTCGTGGAAGTCCTATGTTGGAACGAGTATCTGGAGGTGATAAGAGGGATTTATTGGCCCCCCCACTGCATCGGGGGAGGCACCCTAAGAACGCTTATACCGGTCTACATCTAGTGAGTGTATACATTGCTGCGCACAATTTTGTGTTTTTACAATATCACACTATATTTTGTTTTATGTCCCTTTGTAGATATATCCAGTCGTATCCCATATTGTTTCTTTGTGGCATTATCCTGGATCTGTTTGTTTGTTACATGTATTGATACATTGTAATTGTTTTAATTGCGGTCCCTGAGGAAGTTCATCCAGAACGAAATGCGTAGGACCTTTTTTTCCGCTATATATATTCTGTGCTGAATGGTGACTGCTTACTTTTTTATTGAATAAATGTCAAAGTTTTTACACTCACTCGTGGACGTTTTTTTACAATATCACCGTATATTTTGTTTTATGTCCCTTTGTAGATTTATCCAGCCGTATGCCGAATTGTTTCTTTGTCGCATTATATCTATGGTATAGGTCGTTTTTGGGTAAAGACCAAGGGAGGCTGTTATTTGTTACCTAAAGTTAAGTACTACTTTTGTATATTTTCACTATTGCAATTTTTCGCATTATATTTGTTAGCAATTCATTAAATCTGTCAGGTGTTCCCATCTGTTGCTTCTTTTGCGCCCTTACCATAATTTTTTAATACATGCTGTTTTTCGATTAATGTAATGCATTTATAAATCTTTGCAACAGAGTTCCCAACAGAAAAGTGGTATGCTTTTTTCTGCCTGCCACTCTTAATTTCTGTGAAGAAAACTCTCTTTTCAGATTGCTTCTAGAACACTTAAAGCGACATTATAGGCACCCAGACCACTTCATCTCATTGTTGCGGTCTGGGTGCAGTGCCCCTGTTCCCTTAACCCTGCAATGTAAAGCATTGCAGTTTCAAGTGGATATTATTCACAAGCATCCTGTGTCTGCATGTTTTATGGCCAAAGTAATTCTGAGCTGATGTCATGATGTGCAGATCACAGCGACTTCAAAGCAAGTCTTCTGGCTTACTCCTTATACTTCTACTTTGGGCTTCACCTCTCCACAAAGACAGGGAGATAGCTTTTCTGGCATACTAGGCAATCTACAAAAGCAGTGTATAGCCTACCTGGTGCGTCTTCACACCCACATCATGCATGATTGAAGAGGAGCTAAAGCTACATCCACATAATTCCCTAGGCCAGGAGAAACCCACTTCAATAAAATCTTATATGAAGGCTCTCCTAGCACACAGTGTCGTCCGTGTCATGCCTGCCACCCTGGGAAGGGGGTATGGCCTTGGTGGACTCATGGCAAGTCAGTCTGGTTCTATCCATGTACTCTGATTCAGGTTCTGGTGGCCTTTCCTTTTTCCAAAGTCTCTATGTGAGAACATATGCTGCACCACACCCATTCTGTTCTGCAAAATAATGGAAAGATGCATACTCTAACATTTTATGTAGTCAATGCTAATGACAGTATATTAAGACCTGCCAACTAAAATAACTTTAGCTTGAGATCACCTAAAACACAGGAACATTAGTGAAATAAATCACAGTCAAAATGAAATAAAATAAAATATGTAGCAACATATAATCAATCACATTTATAAAATTGCTGGATTTTTTATATATATATATATATTTTTTTTTAACAATGCTGAATTATCCTGACCTCAGGTAGCCTAAGGGAAAAAACAGATGGTATCTTGGCTCACGATTCTGCAGAGCACAATTAATCTGCTGAGAGACATTTTCTTTTTTCCCATAATCTATAGTTGATAAGACTCACATTGTTTAGTGACATCCTGGCTCAGAATCAATATATATGTTACATATAAAGTCTAACCTCTTGCCTATTTTGAGATTTTCTCAGACTATGCAGACAGGTTATAGAACCCAGTCTGCAAAGGGGATTTTTTTTTTTCTTCAATGGGAAGCTGTTGAAGGATAATGTACAGACCAACCCATGTTCCACACTTATCTCATTGCCTATTTGGGCAATAGTCGTCTCCATTTCTGCTTTGGTTGGATCACTGCAGCCTCAGAACAAAGAGAAACAAATACATTTAAAAAAAAAATCTCTAACTCCTACAAGCATCACATGCTGGACGTTTGTTCAATGAGCTTTTCTGAGTAAGGTTTGGCAATCAGCAAGAACATTATATTGGATTTCATGGTCAGTGCTCCAAACATGATTGCTCATCCAGCATTTGACCATTGCTTTTTTATGCACATTTAAAGAGAAGATACCCTTTCAGATCCTGTTTGGTGAAGAAAAGGTACTATTCATATTATTTTGTTATTATTTATAGGGTCATGATACAATAAATGTTTCTGTGGCATGCCTATGATCTCTTGGTACACAGGGAACCTAGTTATGTGCCCTTTTTTGGTTGCCCCTGGAAATCAAAATAAAGTAAACTTTTTGACAATTGGAATTCCACCATATGACCATCGACCCAGATAAATAGCTATGTCATTCACAAGAGCACTCGAAATCTTCCCTATTTAAAAGCTGTATATGTCTTTGTGGCAAACCTAGCCACTCGGACTATAACTGGACACTATGCCTTTAAGGGTTGCCTATAGGTCTGGAGAGATATGCATTTTAACCTGTATGTGTCTGCTTCATGTATTTCCTGCATTACCTGTACTTATCTGTTCCGCCGAATGCAAATGGCGGTTTGTATGGGGATTCCCGTTCGTTTCACGAACGGCACTTTGGAGGGCCATTCGTGAACCGAACGCGATACCCCCTAATAGCCCACACACTTAGAGGCGTGTGGCGCTAGTTAACTGATTGCAACATTGTTGCAATCGGTTATTAGAGGCTCTCCTGGGTGGCCGTCGTTCGACTACCGACCAGCGGCGGTCGGCCATCTTGGATCCTTTGTTCCCTCAGCGGGGTTATGTCGTCGAGCGCCTGGTACTAAAAACGGCTACTCGACGGCATGAGCCCCGCTGAGCCTCCAGGGCGTTCGGGAGTTTCGGGACATTCGGTATTTTGTTCCCTAAAAGCAATCGGTTCTTTTTGTATGTTTTATACGAATTGTGTTGTTCGTGCGGCGTTCGGTTATTTTAGCTGGGATCTGAGCGGTAATCTCACGAATGATACCCTCAGACCCCAGCTATCTACCGAACGTCCATTCGTGTAAATCCCCTGTATATTCCCCAAGTTATGGATTTTTATGTGAATTGTCGGTTCTGCTGCACGAGGGGATAATCCACTTAACGGTGCATTCTGGGAAGATTATCCCTCTCGTGCAGCGGTGCCTGATGGGAGAAATATGTTGTAATGTAAGTCCCCCATGTAGTCCCCTCTGGGAGTGCCCCTGGGGAGGGACTCAGGAAACCCCTTGCATGGGGACTTGTATAAATTGTCCTGCTGATTAAAAGGTTGTCAGTTGACTCCCAGCCTATGTGTCGTCTAGTTCTTGGGAAGGAAGGGTTACTACAGTGCTGTCTGGATTATTGTATGCTGATTCCCTGGATTATTTTATGTTGTTCCTGTTACCCAGCGGAGATATCGTGGATTATACTGCCTCTCCGCTACAATTGGTGGCAAGCGACGGGATTGAATTTACACAGCAAAGCAACGTTCGGCAGATTTTTAAACGAATCAAGGAACAGGCATTCGGGAATTAGCGCATTCGAATAAACCTCACGAACAGCAGGTGAATGGGAACAAATTATGCCCTGCTAAAACGGAGCACATTAAAGGAGCTGCTGGAAGCAAGAGGAGCAATCGCCAGTAACAAGGCAAAGGCTGTCTTAATTACAGAGCTCATGGAAGGAGACAGAGCCGCAGCTGCTGCAGCATCTCACATGGAGGGAGAAACCCACGAATTTACAGCTGAATTCCGAGCACGAATGGCTTTATTCCTTGAACCCCCATCTGCAGAGATGGTTAACAGGCTGTTCGGAGATGTACAGGAGTACATTATGGCTAGGAGACCGCAAGGGAACCAGCAAGCCGGGGAAAGAGCCGCAACGCCAGTACATATTCTCCCAGGGAAAGCCAAAATCCCATATCAAGCCTTCAAAAGCTATGTGGAGACAGAGGGTGGCGTTGACGACTATTTACAGGACTTCGAGAGACTGTGTTTGCTGCACGAAATTAACGATGCAGACAGAGTACCCCTACTAGCGGGGAGATTATCTGGGCGAGCCGCTGAAGCGTACCGGGCAGTACCAGACGAGGACAGTAGAGACTACGCTAAATTAAAACGGGCCATTCTAGCCCGGTATGCCATCACATCAGAGGCGTACCGAAAGAAGTTTCGGGACATTAAAAAACCCACTAAAGACACCCATGTAGAATGGGCGCACCAGCTGCAACGAGCTGCCAAGGGGTGGCTGGAGGCCACCCAAGTTGATACATTGGAGGGTCTGTTCCAGCTAATGGTACTGGAGCAATTCTTCAATGGCGTCCCGACCTACCTACAAAACTGGATTCGGGACAGAAAGCCACACACCCTGCAGGAAGCGGCTAATATGGCAGACGATTTCCAGGACAATCGGAGAGATCAACCCGTACCAACCCGAGCCGTCATCCCCCCTGCAACGACCAGCACTCCAGGGGGCCCCGCAACTCACCAGCGACCAGGGGTAAGCCAGAATTCCTACCCCCCCAGGTATTCAGCACGTCCACCAATCCGGTGCCATACCTGCAACCAACAGGGGCACATCCAGAGAGACTGCCCACGGAACCGGCCTCGACCCAACTGGAATAACGCAGCCCCGAGCAACCGTGCCGCAGTCCACTGTATACAGGCCGAATCCTACCAGAATCTGGAGCTGGGGACAACCCAGGAGGAACCCCTCGGCACCCTACACGAGGTGAACCCTATCCAGGCCGCCTCCGATAACCGCCAAGGGCACCGCCAGGAAGTACACATGGAGGGGAGGAAAGTACAAGGACTTCGTGACTCTGGAGCCACCCTAACTCTAGTACGCAGTCATCTGGTACCAAAGCCCAAGCTCACGGGGGACTGTGTGGCTGTGCGGGTGGCTGGGGGAGCCATTTACAAAGTACCCACGGCCAAGGTGCACTTGAATTGGGGAGCGGGGCACGGGAATGTATATGTGGGGATGATGCAAGACTTGCCAGCGGATGTAATTTTGGGCAACGATTTGGGGGAGCTGACTTCAGCTTTTGTTCCACAGCCCACCGTACAAGAAGCATACCCGGTTGTGACCCGGCAACAGGCCCGCACCACAGCACCATCCGAACACTCTGAGGCTCAGGTAAGCAATTACCCTCCCCTACCCCCTATCATGCCCTGGGCCAATTCCATAGAGTTCGGGGCCGAAGTAGCCCTAGATCCTTCGTTACAGGTATACAAAGACCGCATTGATAAAGATCAAGCCGGGTTAGAGGGGGAAAGATATATCTGGGACAAAGGACTACTATATCGGCACGCAGAGAAGGTAGTGTCCGGGTCAATACCGTTGCCCATTAAACAGCTAATAGTGCCTCGAAAATATAGGTTAGAGCTGTTACGCATAGCCCATGATATCCCCCTGTCTGGACACCTAGGCATCAGTCGGACCAAGCACAGGCTGACCCAAAATTTCTTTTGGCCAGGTATTTCCCAGGATGTTAGGCGATATTGTCAGACCTGTGATACCTGCCAAAGGGTAGGCAAGAGAGGGGACAGATACAAAGCACGACTACGGTCTCTGCCCATCATTGAAGAACCATTCAGTAGGGTGGCAGTAGACATCATAGGTCCCCTCGCAAAGCCCAGCCCCTCTGGCAAGAAGTATGTCCTAACCGTGGTGGACTACGCCACCCGATACCCCGAGGCAGTGGCCCTAACTAACGTACACGCAGAAACGGTAGCCGAGGCCCTGACGAGGATATTCACCCAGGTAGGATTTCCCCGGGAGATTATCTCCGATAGAGGCACCCAGTTTACTGCTGAAGTGACCCATCAGCTCTGGAAAATATGTGGGATACAACAAATCCTGAACTCCCCATATCACCCCCAGTCCAATGGGCTCTGTGAACGGTTTAACGGAACCCTGAAACAAATGATCCGCACGTTCATGGACACCCAAAAAGACTGGGAGAGGTTTTTACCCCACCTACTGTTCGCGTATCGAGAAGTGCCGCAAGAATCCACCGGATTCTCTCCGTTCGAATTATTATTCGGGAGGAGAGTGAGGGGACCTCTTGACTTGATACGGGAACACTGGGAGGGAGACGAAACCATTAATGGCACCCCTATCTTACCATATGTGCTCGAGTTCAGGGAACGCCTGGAGAGGCTAACCCAGACCGTCCGAGACAATCTCCAGGTAGCGCAACAGCGACAGCGCCGATGGTATGATAAGGGAGCCAGGGACCGCAGCTTCCAGGTGGGGCAGAAAGTCCTAATCTTGCGACCCGTCCACAAAGATAAGCTGCAGGCTTCCTGGCAGGGCCCATACAAAGTGGTGGAACAGATCTGTGACACCACCTATGTGATCGGCCCGGTTACCGGCGTGGGAGGCAAACGCATGCTACATGTGAACATGCTCAAGCCATACCACGAACGTACTGAGGAAGTCACCGCAATCTGTGCCCCTGCCACGGAAGATTTTGATAACCTACCCCTTCCCGATCTCCTAGACCAAGAGGGCCAGAGCGGAGATCTGGGAGAGGTACAGTTAGGAGAAAGATTAAATGCCCAAGAGCGGGCCCAGGTACAAAGGTTGCTTCAGGAAAAGAAGGCCACGTTTTCCAATTTACCCGGCTATACCCCTTTGGCTACCCATAAGGTAGAAACTTTAGATCAGACCCCTTTGCGCCAACCCCCATACCGCACTCCAGAAGCAGTCAAAGAAAGTATGCGCAAGGAAATTGAGGAGATGATTCAGTTAGGAGTAATAGAGCACTCGGACAGCCCCTGGGCCTCCCCGGTAGTACTGGTGCCAAAACGGGACGGGACGACCCGTTTCTGCGTAGACTACCGACGGCTCAACGATAAAACGACCTCTGACGCATATCCCATGCCCCGAATAGACGAACTCCTCGACAAGATGGCCAGGGGTCAATACCTAACCACTATAGACCTGTGCAAAGGGTACTGGCAGATTCCATTAGCGGAAGACGCCATTCCTAAGTCGGCCTTTGTCACCCCGTTTGGCTTGTATCAGTTTAAGGTCATGCCATTCGGGATGAAAAACGCTCCAGCTACCTTTCAGAGAATGGTGGACAGATTATTAGATGGGTTCCAGGAGTATGCCTGCGGGTATCTAGATGATATCGCCATATTCAGCCACTCCTGGCACGAACATCTGGTTCACATAGGAGCCATTCTAGACCGAATCCGAGAGGCCGGACTGACCCTAAAACCCAGCAAATGCCATATCGGTATGGCGGAAGTCCAGTACCTAGGGCACCGGGTAGGGAGTGGACAGCAGAAACCCGAACCTGCCAAAATAGAGGCAGTCGCCCAATGGCCTACCCCTCGCACCAAGACCCAAGTGCTCGCCTTTTTAGGGACCGCCGGGTACTACCGGAAGTTTGTGGCCAACTATAGCGCCCTTGCCAAACCCCTCACAGACCTGACCCGCAAGAACCTCCCTAAGTTAGTAGTCTGGGCCCCAGAGTGTGAGCAGGCGTTCCAACAGCTCAAGACGGCGCTTGTTAACTCTCCTGTACTTTCTGCTCCTGATCCAACTAAACGCTTTCTCGTCCACACAGACGCTTCTATGTTTGGATTGGGAGCAGTACTGAGCCAAGTTGGACCCGATGGCGGCGAGCACCCCGTAGCTTACCTAAGCCGAAAACTTTTACCCAGGGAAGTAAGCTACGCCGCCATTGAAAAGGAGTGCCTGGCTGTGGTGTGGGCCCTCAAAAAGTTGCAACCCTACTTATACGGGCAACCCTTCACTTTACTCACGGATCACAACCCGTTGGTGTGGCTGAACAGGGTGTCCGGAGACAATGCCAGGCTGCTGCGCTGGAGTTTGGCGCTGCAGCCTTTTGACTTTACTATCCACTACCGCCCTGGGAAGCAAAATGGCAACGCCGACGGGTTGTCTAGACAAACAGACTTGGAGCCGTGATTCGTGAGTACTCCTCCGGACATCCCCAAGCCGATCCGTTGGGATCAGACTGTGTATGCCGGCTTGGTTCTGGGGGAGCATTGTGGCAAACCTAGCCACTCGGACTATAACTGGACACTATGCCTTTAAGGGTTGCCTATAGGTCTGGAGAGATATGCATTTTAACCTGTATGTGTCTGCTTCATGTATTTCCTGCATTACCTGTACTTATCTGTTCCGCCGAATGCAAATGGCGGTTTGTATGGGGATTCCCGTTCGTTTCACGAACGGCACTTTGGAGGGCCGTTCGTGAACCGAACGCGATACCCCCTAATAGCCCACACACTTAGAGGCGTGTGGCGCTAGTTAACTGATTGCAACATTGTTGCAATCGGTTATTAGAGGCTCTCCTGGGTGGCCGTCGTTCGACTACCGACCATGCGGCGGTCGGCCATCTTGGATCCTTTGTTCCCTCAGCGGGGTTATGTCGTCGAGCGCCTGGTACTAAAAACGGCTACTCGACGGCATGAGCCCCGCTGAGCCTCCAGGGCGTTCGGGAGTTTCGGGACATTCGGTATTTTGTTCCCTAAAAGCAATCGGTTCTTTTTGTATGTTTTATACGAATTGTGTTGTTCGTGCGGCGTTCGGTTATTTTAGCTGGGATCTGAGCGGTAATCTCACGAATGATACCCTCAGACCCCAGCTATCTACCGAACGTCCATTCGTGTAAATCCCCTGTATATTCCCCAAGTTATGGATTTTTATGTGAATTGTCGGTTCTGCTGCACGAGGGGATAATCCACTTAACGGTGCATTCTGGGAAGATTATCCCTCTCGTGCAGCGGTGCCTGATGGGAGAAATATGTTGTAATGTAAGTCCCCCATGTAGTCCCCTCTGGGAGTGCCCCTGGGGAGGGACTCAGGAAACCCCTTGCATGGGGACTTGTATAAATTGTCCTGCTGATTAAAAGGTTGTCAGTTGACTCCCAGCCTATGTGTCGTCTAGTTCTTGGGAAGGAAGGGTTACTACAGTGCTGTCTGGATTATTGTATGCTGATTCCATGGATTATTTTATGTTGTTCCTGTTACCCAGCGGAGATATCGTGGATTATACTGCCTCTCCGCTACAGTCTTCCCTTGTGACCGAGGCTAACCCTATTCTGTATTCTACGACCCTCCCAAGAACCACATATAGTTAAAGTAACTGTGTACACAAAAATAATTAAAATACAGTTTTACATTTTACAAGGCTTCTTAAAATCCCCTATCTTAGCAAACAAATATAGGGATTCAAGTTACACCACAGACCATAATGTGTTAAACCCATTACTAGGTCACAGTACCCCAATATTGGTGGGTCCTCCCAAGAACTAAATGCATGGTATCCTGCATGCTGGGGTTCATTGAATCATAATTCACAACAAAGTGGAGGATATAGGGCAACCTGAAAACTGTGCCATTTGTTTGGCTAGAGTCACGCTAATCCAGATGTCTAACAGGGTATGTGGCCCATCTTAATACTATGACAAGCACAAATACTAGTTCAAATCCAAGTTATCCTGCACAATATATGATTTGAGTCCATGATATATGCAGGGAGCTTCAAATGTTATTGTATATTTCACAGAGAGAATACAGCATGAATGGACAAACAGACAAAAAAAAAAAAAAGTGAGGTTTGCTCAATGACGCTATATGGTGAAACTATTGATGTCAATATAGAATGAGATTCATTCTCCCCATTGACAATATAGCTGTGAATGAGTTTCTTTTTGCATGCATGGAGGCTCTGGAGGATTATGAGATTTATACTTCCCAACTGTGCCTATTTAGGAGAAACAGTTCCTATTTAGGGCCCAAATCCATCTGCCAAGGTCAACTTGTAGCTAAATACAGTATGAAGTAAAATAATGACAGATGTGTAGCGCTTCTGATTATTCTTGTAGCTTGCACAAAGGGTGTAAATAGGTGTTTCCCTACACCTTAGTAATAAACCACAATAGCATACACAATGTGACAAAACACAAATTAAACTACACCCTTATAGTCATGGTCGGACTGAGAGAAAAATTCGGCCCGGCATTTCTTTATCACAGCGGCCCACTAAGAAGGGGGCGGGGCAGAAAGGGTGTGTTTCATCATCACCAATGACACACACGCCCCCTCTCAAAGTGAGCATGTTGGTTCAATGCTCTTCCAGGGCAGACCATGCGCAGAGCTCTGCTAAAGAGCTCTAGCATGAGAAAAAAAGCCATGTATTTGTTCTACACAGTGCAAGCAAATGTAATGAAATGCTTGCACTGTGTTTCCTTGCAACCTGTCTCTAGTGTCTCTATAAATGGATACCAGGAAAGAGTATTGTGCATGTGTTTGGAGCCTGCTTGTGGGATTGGGTGTGTGTAGAGTGAGCTGATTGAGGTGTGGTATTGTGTAATAAGGTCGGTTTTAGTCGTGTTGTGTTTTTGGTGTAATGTAATGCATATGTGGCTAGGGCCTGTAAAGAATGTGTGTATAGGGGATGTAGTTAGTGTGTGCATACGGGCTATAGTGTGTGTGTGTATATAGGTGATGTAGTGTTTGTAGGGGTTGTAGAGAGTGTGTGTTTTAGGGTTTAGTATGTTTACAAGGAATCTAGTGTGCGTATAAGGGATCCCGAATGTATATTTTAGGAATATAATATGTGTGTAAGTGGTGCAGTGTGTGTGTGTGTGTGTGTGTATACAGGAGTCTAGTGTGTGTTTGAAGGACCCAGAATGTGTAGGAGATCTAGTGAATGTGTGTATATAACGGATTCAGAGTGTATATAGGGAACTAGTGTGTGTGTATGCTCCAGAGTTGGGTAAGGGATCTAGTGTGTGTCTGGAATGGAATGTGTTTAGGAGTGCAGTATGTGTGTAAGGGGTTCAGTGTGTGTGAGGGGTGCTGTAGTATATATATATATATGTTTGGAAGTATTGTGTGTGTGCGTGTGTGTGTTTGGTGCAGTGTGTTGGGATTCTGTGTGTATGTGTGAGGGGTGCAGTGGGTGTCTGTGAGGGGTGTAGTGTGTATTTGAAGGGTGCAGTATGTGTGTGTGATGGTTGCTTTGTTTGAGGGGTGCTGTGTGTGATGTGTGGGTGTTGTGTGTGATGTGTGTGTGTGGGTGCTGTGTGTGAGGGTGCTGTGTGTAAGGGAGCTGTGTGTGAGAGTGCTGTGCGTGAGGATGCTGTGTGTGATGTGTGTGAGGGTGCTGTGTGCGATGTGTGTGTAAGGGTGCTGTGTGTGAGGGTGCTGTGTGTAAGGGTGCCGTGTGTATGATTTGTGTGTGAGGGTGCTGTGTGTGAAGGTGATGTGTGTGAGGGTGATGTGTGTGATTTGTGAGGGTGCTGTGTGTGATTTGTGTGTGAGGGTGCTGTGTATGAGTGTGATTTGTGAGGGTGCTGTGTGTGAGGGTGCTGTGTGTGATGTGTGTGAGGGTGATGTGTGTGAGGTGCTTGAGAGTGATGTGTGGGATAGTGCTGTGTGTGATGGTGCTGTGTTTGAGGGTGCTGTGTGTGACGTGTGTGAGGGTGCTGTGTGTGAGGGTGCTGTGTGTGAGGTGTGTGTGAGTGCTGTGTGTGATGTGTGTGAGAGTGCTGTGTGTGAGAGTGCTGTGTGTGATAGTGCTGTGTGTGAGAGTGCTGAGTGTGATGTGTGTGAGAGTGCTGTGTGTGAGGGTGCTGTGTGTAATGTGTGTGAGAGTGCTGTGTGTGATGTGTGTGAGAGTGCTGTGTGTGAAGGTGCTGCGTGAGATGTGTGTGAGAGTGCTGTGTGTGAAGGTGCGTCTATATACAAATTCAGAATTACATAAAAGAGAGATACATGTGTCACATGGGTTTCTTTAGCCTAGTGATTAGTAGTCCGTGGTAGGAGCAATACCTACTATCATCCTCCATAACTGTCAAGCTTCAAATTAGATTTTACTTTTGGCCTTACAACAAAAAGTAATTACATCTGATGAATACAAATTCCTACAAAAACCTCATAACAATATTACCTTAGCAAACTTTTTACTGCTTACCCAAAATGCATAATTCATAATTCATATTCCACATGGCAGACCAATAGTGTCTGGAAACAATTGTTTAACCAAAAGAGCAAATACTACATTTTGTAACTGAATGTAAAATATGGAAGTTCCTCCATACACTATGCCAATCAGCTTAGATGTACTTTCATTTTCAGCAATATTCCCCAAGCATCTTTCTCATTCTCAGACCAAACATCAACTTACAACTATTTGCAAAAAGACTTTACATTGGCTCTTTAAAAATATGTCTTAACGTACAACTACTTTATTTTAATGGTAAGCACTACTTATAGTCAAAGGGCACAGCTATGGGAAAATAATGTGTTCCCAGCTATGCCAATATCCTTTTGGGGTGGTAGGGACATGATATTGTCAATTCCTCACATTATAGGAAATACTAGAATCATTTTTGAAAATGGCGCAGATGTATTGATGACATTCTGCTCCTCTGATCTGGCCCAGAGTCTCTGATTGAAGAATTTGTCAGGGCTTTATATTTCAATGACCTACAACTTACTCATGTCATTGATAAAAATTAGTTGGTTCTTTTTTGGACCGGAAAATTGGACTTGGAAATTATAATTACAGAAGAGGGCAGAATCTTAATAGAACTCCTCAGAAAGTCTTCCACAGTGGTGGAGTTAATATAGAGAGGACCCTGGTCCAAGAATTATTATCGCAAGGATGGCCCAAAGGTAGATCCCTATTTGTCATACAACTGCAACAAAACTTTGCAACTGGGGTTCTACTATTTTCACTGAGCAGTGTTTGCATGTTTAAATGTAAGCATGTTTTTGTATGGACTATGTTTGTATGAATGTAGTGTTTGCATGCAAGCGTGTATTTGTGTGTAGTGTGTTTTTTTAATAATCACATCACTAGATGATTCTTGAGCAACTATTCAACATGGTTTCCAACTGTCACACAGAGATCTAGATTTTCCAGGGGAAGTGTTCTACTAATCTTAAAGCTGCAGTCTTCTCTCCTTAGTGGGGCTGCTTTTATAGGTATGCGTGGTATTAAGAGGAATCATTGTTTTTTTAATTAATATTTCAGTCCAGTGCAAACAAATTGTGATTTTGAACCCCTCAGACCCAAGTTGTGGGCATACTTGGAGTAGTGTTGTCTGTGACAAACTTTACTAGGGCAAGCAACAGAGAACAGTGAGTCAGTCTAAATTAAACAGTGAAGCAAAAAAAAAAACTGACTGTTTGAATATATTTATTTACATGAGTATGAACACCTAATTTGTCACTATAAACAAGTCAATGTAAAGTCTGCTTTCTAAGGCTCAAGTTGTATACCTTAGTCTCAATGGGTGTAAAAAACTACAGCAGAACTCCTAAATGTTATTTTGTGAAAAAGTAAACAATGTTTAAAGGTGCTGTATAAATTTGTCAGTCGGGTTCACATTCCTTTCATGATTTTTTCCAGGACAGTACCAGCTTCATGCATTTATTTTAAACCTCACCAGTTGCATCTATTTCCACACCTCTTCCCCCAGAATGCCTGTCAACCTACACCTCATTAATTTTATGTGTTATAATTCAATGCGTCTTGAAAAATGTACATATTATCAAAGAATGATTTTTGATTACCGTATATACTTGAGTACAAGACGAGTTTTTCAGCACATTTTTTGTGCTGAAAACCCCCCACTCGTCTTATACTCGAGTCGATGTCTGTATTATGGCAATTTACATTGCCATAATACAGACCAGGACCGCCGTATTCATTACATGCCTGGTGGTCCTGTTGGGGCCTGGCAGCGAGCTGTAACTTACCTTTCCTGCTGCTCCTGTCAGCTCCCTTCTCCTCCGGTCCTACCAGCTCCCCTGTCAGCTCCACTGCAAGTCTCGCGAGAGCCGCAGGGTCAGAGCGTTGCCACGGATTACTGTGGCAACGCTCCGCGCTGAACTCACACCGCAAGACTTGCAGTGGAGCTGACAGGGGAGCTGACCGGACCGGAGGAGAAGGGAGCTGCAGGAAAGATAAGTTACAGCACGCTGCCTGCCCCACTCCTACACAGCCCATCCACTGGACCACCAGGTAATGAGAGCCCCCCTCCCTGGCCATGTATCCCTGGATGTGTAAAAATAAATACAAATTTAATTAATAATAAAATTAAAATAAAATATTAATATTTAAAAAATATTAATAATAAAATTAAAATTAAATATTAATAACATAACAAAACAAATTAATATTAAAATAATTTTTTTTTAAAATAATAAAAATGCCCACCCCCCACCAAGGCTCTGCATCACATATACAAACACACTCTGCTTCACACACACACACTGCATTCATACACACACTGCATTCATACACACACTGCATTCATACACACACACTGAATTCATACACACACTGCATTCATACACACACACACAATGCATTCATACACACACTGCATAATGGTATAAAAAACAGAGGGTTGTTAGCCCCTTACTGGATATGAAGGTGAGTTAAACTGGCTTCCGCAGTTACTCACTAAAACAGCTTCTAAGGATTCAAAGTAGCGGGTGGGCTGCTATCACTCCTCCAGCTTGGCTGAACTGAAGATGAATCACTGTAATGAAAGCCGCTGGAACTTCAGTTTAAAAAAAAAAACACTCCGGACTCTGTGTGATGCAAGCTCCTCCCCCTTGTATGGCATTGACGCGTTTCGCCATATGACGGCTTCTTCAGGACGTGCTCATAACTGCCATGTTTGTTATGGGCCTTTTAAAGGCTGAAGTCTTAGTTGTCTCAAAATACCTCCATTGATGTGCAGTCCGTTTCAAATGCTGCCTTGTAATTTACATAAAATAGCCAGCTGTATATTAATTTACAAATTTACTGACAACATCAAAGTTAAAACAAAATTAAATACCAAATACAATAAAGTATATTAACACAAATCAAATGCATAATATGCTCATTCAAAATTAAATATAAGAAAATACAAAGGATTCCTTTTTGTTGACCACTTTTAAAGGGACAATACCATTTGTATATTATTATACGTAAATCATCATTTATGGTCAAAGAATAGATAGAAAAAATGCATAAAAATAAACTTACACCAATCCAAAAAAATATGTCCAAAAAATATGTTACTCTAACCAGCAACATAATGTCCTAAAATACATCTGTACTTAAGTACAATAATTCGGACAATTTTATTATATAAATTTGAGGTAAGAAAGTGCATAAACATATATAATTATATACAACTGATTTTGATAGGATGTATGGAGGATCACAGAACCTGCTTAAAAATATATACAAAGGAAGAGAATAAATAGTAAATATACAAATAAATACAGACAATAAAAAAATATAAAAATTGAAAAATATTAAAATTGTAAAATATTAAAATTGATGTCCTAAATAAGGGGATATACAGTACACACAATGCAATATGAAAAGGAAAATATGAAGAATTAAATATATAGAGAGAAGGAAAACATGCAAAAAGTATGCAAAAAATATGCAGGAATATGCAGAGAGGTGGAGTTAAAAATCAATAAAAAAATCAATCTTAAAAATTATAAAAAATCATTATATAATAGAAGTAATAATTTAATAGTGTTAAATTCTGGAAATATTAAAATATACAATTCAAATTATTTTATAGAGTTGATTTCTTAGAAATATATATAAAATTTAAAATATAATTAATATTAATTTTTTTTTAAATGACAAACTTCAAAATCATTTTTGAGGCCATGCAGGATCATAGTATTCAATTCAAAGATCCATTGCATTTCGGCCCCCCCTATCTTTACATTAAAATCTCCACCTCTCCATGCTTTTTGAACTTGTTGGATCCCTATAAAACTTGTGTGGGATCTGCTCCATTTAATAATCTGCTTATTAAATAATGAGTTCTAAAGGAAATATATATATGTTAGTTTACTTTAGTTAGTTGAACTATAAAATCAATATAAATTACTAAAGTATGATATCACATATAGCTCAATTGCTAGCAATCAAAAAATAATCAAAACACAATAACTCATTATGTTACTTGTAAGTGTTGTGGCTCAAGAAGGTTCCCTGTCTCCTTGAGCACAGTGTCTTATAACTGCAGAGATTTGCACAAAAAAAAAAACAGAAGTCCATCCACTCAATACAATAGGTCACATTGGTCTGCCCATACAAGAACTTGTACTATCCTGAGTAGCACCACTGCAGGTGTTTCTAGGAGCTGTAATTCATCTGTCTACAATAAAAAGTTGACAACTGAAATTCAGTGCTCCCTGATAAGCCTGCTGTGCTCATAAAGTTCTGTTATGCACTAATTTACGGTATAAGCTTATGTCAGAATATTAGTATTCACATTAATATGGCGCCAACATATTCTGTAGCCAGGGCAAGACTGGGAAAACAGTTTGGGCCAGGTGTTTTTTGTTCACAATGACCCATGGGCAAGGGGGAGGGACCAGAGAGGGTGGTTTGTGTAATCACCAGTGACAAGCACGCCCCCCGAGCATGAACATGTTGGCTCAATGCTCTCCCAGGCCAGACCATGCGCAGAGCCCTGTTGAAATGCTCTCTCATGAGAAAAAGATCCTGCATTAGTTTTGCGCAGAGCAAGCGAATTTAATGACACTCTTGCGCTGCATTTGCGTGTGACTTGTCTCTGGTGTCGCCATAAGGGGGATTCCAGAGGACAAAAGAGCCAGGAAAGAATCTGGTATGGTGTGTTTTTTTTAATTTATTTTTTTGTTTCCGTTGTGTTTATTGTGTGGCTAGGGGCTGTAGAGAGTGTGTGTATTCGTGATATGTATATAGGGGATGCAGCGTGTGTTGTGCATAGGTGCTGTATTGTATATGTGTATAGGTGAAGGGGGTGTAGAGAGTGTGTGTTTAAGGAATGTAGTTTGTGTTTTTGTGTACAGTGGATTAACTGTTGGTAGGGGATACAAAGTGTATAATAGGTGAAGGGGATGCAGTGTGTGTGTGGAAGGGTGCAGTGTGTGTGTAAGGGATGCAGTGTGTGTGTGGAAGGGTGCAGTGTGTGTGTGTGGAAGGGTGCAGTGTGTGTGTGGAAGGGATGCAGTGTGTGATGACGATGACAATGCTGTCTGTTGTGGCAGCAGTAGTAGACTATGATTTAAATTTGATATTCTATGTCCATATTCCATATTGGAGAACTTTCCGCAAGTGGATTTAAGATGAAAAGGAAGATTACTCCAAATCATTTTAGCTCTTTGAACAATAGATTACAGTTTTGTATTCACATTTTATTTGATTACATTCTGTAGATGCATGACATTTGCACAGTCGTTATTCGGCATGTGCTACCCTTTACACTTAAATAAAACACTGACACCAATAATTCTGTTGGAGTATAAAGTCCACAGCTTTATTAATTAATTATAATAAATTAACATAATCTAGGGTCATTGTCCTACTAGACATTATGTTACTATACCCCCACACAGTACCCCTGACAATGACCCTAGCAATTAAACAATAAATAACAACAAATAACATATAACTTGAAACACACGGCCTACAAAAGAGACACCATATCGTCCAGTTAACTGTAGGGGTATACCTCGGACACCCCTACACCCCCAGGTTCGTAGCCACCAAAGAGCTAGAACCAACCAATCCTTAACTCCATCCGGCCTAAACCTCGGCCTGTCCATTTCAAATTCCACGCAAGTTCCAATATATACACCGCCCTGTTCCGCCACAGCACATGGCTTGACCCCCTTAAGCTAATGTGCGACCCCCACCATATCTAACAGGGCCTGTGCTATACCATCCTGAAAACCTAGGTTCAGCAAATCATTCCCCACATCCGATAGGTGAATACCATCCCTCCTAAAATATCCCGGCAGCATACCCTCTAATTCCCCATGCCTCACCACCACGCCCCCCGACCGTCTAATAAAGACTGACATAATTTTGTTGACCTTACCCCTAGATCGAGCTATTGCAGCTGGATCCCTGGCGTGTTTCCACGTAAAGCGAGGCACCATCTCAGACCAAACTACGACCACGCCAGGAACCAGCTCCCTCAGCCGATCCATATCCCTCTTCATTTTCCGAACCAGTAACCTTTGAGGAATCAAGCCCAGATCGTTCCCACCTCCGTGGACCAGTACCACGTCTGGGACCGCCCCCCCGACAACTTTTTAAATAACGCGCTGCAGAGATCCTGCCAGCTAGCGCCCCTCAAACCAAGCCATGATAATTCCACTCGTTCCAAAGGAAAGCCCAGCTGCGTTCCGCATCTTCGAACTGCGGCTCTCTTCTGCGCCCAGTACACATACGAGTGTCCCATCAACCAAACTTTCAAACCTGAAAGGAAATAAAATTAGTTGCGAGGAGACAAATGCCCCCCCCCCCTATCCCAATTTCCTAACCAACGCTTACTTACACCAGCCTGTCAGACCTCACATACGTGCGGAACCGCATGGATTCCCACCTCCCGATCCGCTTAATCCGCTCTTCCCCCAAACCTAGGCGTGCTGCCTGCGTCGCTGCGCCTATGCGGAACGAGTGCGTCCCAAATTTCTTGGGCTCCAAGCCCAGCCTCTGTAAACCCGCTCGAAAAACCCGCAGAAATTGGTAGCGGGACAGCGCCGTCCCATCAGCATGCAGGAAAAAACTACCAGCCATCCCGGGACGGACCTCCAAGTACCGCGCCCCGCAAGCCACCGGGCACGCCCTTGAACCCGGTAACTCGTACAACACCACAGAGCACCCTTTACCAAACACGTCTGTTTTAGAGCGGCGCAACCTGATCCGCACCCTGTCGTTGCATAAGTCCACGTCGTCGAGCAGCAATCCGCCGGCCCCTTTCCTGTTGGGGCTCACCAGCTCGCCAATCCGGAAGGCTCCGAAGAACGCCCATACAAACGCTCCCGAAAATAGCGCCACCTCAAAAGGGGAATGACACAACCCAGCCAACGCTCCTAACAACCCTTGCAACACCGAGAACGACACCGGTCTTCTCGTGTCCCCAAACTTCTTACCCTTCCGAAAACCTCGTATCGCCTGACGTATCATGAAATTCTTAGTAATGTCCTCCCAACCATTGAACTTAAATAAAAAGGCCAGGGCAGACATATACCTGTCCACCATGGCCGGCGAAGCCTGTCTTGAGAACAGGCGACACAGCAACCATAGCAGCACGTCCCCCCGCTGCCCCTCCGAAAAAACACCTCCTACCTGTTGAACAGTCTCCTCCCATTCCTTCCAAACCTTAACATAAGACGACCACGTGCTTGGCGCCAATGAGTTCCTTATGTACTCCCCAAGCATGACGTCCCGAGCCGCCACATCTCGTCCGGGCATGCTTGCCCCATCTCCTGGGCGTCCGGCGCCGCTTCCCGGAATCGTTCCCACTGAAAACGAGAAAGCGCATCAGCCACCACATTCAACATACCAGGGATGTGCTTAGCCCTAAACACCACATTGAAGGACATGCAAAGAAGTACAAACCGCCGCAACAAACACAAGACCGGGGGGGAAGACGCAGACAAACTGTTTATCGCCTGCACCACAGCCATGTTATCCGAGTGGAACACGATGTGCCTGTTTGCCAACGCCGGCCCCCATAAACCCATCGCAACCACGACCGGAAATAATTCCAAAAACGCCAAATTCCTTATTAGCGGGCTTTCTTTCCACGCTGCAGGCCACTCCTCAGCGCACCAATTACCCGCAAGATAAGCCCCAAAAC